CGCGGGAAAAAATCACCACATTCTGCGCCGGTTTAAAAAAAAAAAAAAGAAAGAAATCACCTCCTTTGTTGCTCTCGAAAAACAACTTCACACGGCGTCCTTAACGCGCGCCCGTGGAGCCGACGGTGTCTGTGAATGGCCTATTTTCACACCTGCGAATCGGCGCATGATGGGCAATGCAGAAAAAAGCAGCAGATAATTATACAGCCCGGCAAAAAGCAAAGTGGAGTCACCGAGGGCAGAATAACACACAATATCTACATTGAGGGGTCCAAAAAATGTGCCTGCCTCTCTGTGGTCACAAAGCGGTCATTTGGGCTAAGTGGGCTGTAATTATGTTACTGTACGGATACAGTCGGAATCTCTGCATGGAATGAAAGCTGCGCAGGTTAGTCGTGTTTACCCACTGCTAAATTGAATTTAATAGTCTGACGTCAATGTGGGCAATGACTTATTCTCTTATATATTTTTTTTTTACTGAGATTCTCTTATTCTCTTATTTCCACATGTTCCAAGTGGCTTAGCGTAGCATTAACACAGAAAACAAAAAAAAAAATTCCAACAAGGCTTGGCCAAGACCTGTCATCTCGAGATTCCACAAAAAAGGAAATCTGTCTGCCTCCATCACATGCACCCAAATCATGTTACATCACCCGTGCCACCGCTTAGACCTGCTTTTAGCAAGTCTCAAATCTAGTCGACTTTCTGTCGTCAAGTTGCCAGATGCTACGGGGGCGTGACGGTTGCCTCCGCTGGAACGCCCAGCGAGGTGCAACGCGCTCGCAAACAAGCCTTTAAAAAATATTTTTTGAACTTGTTCTTTGCAATATTTTGACTTAGGACATAAAATTACAATTTCTTCATCCTCGCGTTATGATGTCATCGGAGATTCCACAAAAAAGGAAATCTGTCTGCCTACGCCACCATCAAATGCACCAAAATCATGTTACATCACCCGTGCCACCGCTTAGACCTGCTTTTAGCAAGTCTCAAATCTCGTCGACTTTCTGTCGTCAAGTTGCCAGATGCTACGGGGGCGTGACGGTTGCCTCCGCTGGAACGCCCAGCGAGGTGCAACGCGCTCGCAAACAAGCCTTTAAAAAATATTTTTTGAACTTGTTCTTTGCAATATTTTGACTTAGGACATAAAATTACAATTTCTTCATCCTCGCGTTATGATGTCATCCACGCCCCTTTTAGGCTGTTTTTCTTTTCTTTTTTTTTTCTTTTCTTTTTTAAAATCTACAATCTAAAAAAAAATGACTTTTTACTCGTAAAATTCTAACTTGTAGCCCTAACTGCCTCCGCTGGAACGCCCAGCGAGTTGCAACGCGCTCGCAAACAAGCCTTTAAAAATATTTTTTTTAACTTGTTCTTTGCAATATTTTGACTTAGGATATAAGATTACAATTTCTTCATCCTCGCGTTATGATGTCATCCACGCCCCTTTTAGGCTGTTTTTCTTTTCTTTTTTTTCTTTTCTTTTTTTTTAAATCTACATTCTAAAAAAAAAGTACTTTTTACTCGTAAAATTCTAACTTGTAGCCCTAAAACTATACCACCTCAACAAAAGACTGAATCATCCTGGTTACTGGGTGACCTCAATAATTGAAACCACTGTACAGGAGCGATGCGTGTATCTCCCCAAAACTGTTGCGCATCGATATTTTCTCCAGTCGTGCCAGCATACTCGCTGTGAACCTGTTGACGCATGGCAAAGAGCGAATGGCACAGCTCGTTGTTTCATTGTGTGTTTGCCTTCCTCGGGCTTAGAGGTCATCAATCACAGCGTTCAACAGAATGGAGGGGAAGAAAACAGACACGCAGAGAAGAACGGATGGCTGAATAGATAGACGGATGGATGGAAGTGAAATGCTCCAGTGAAGACTTTGAGAATGAGGACGTGAACGAGGCGACACCACAGATGCTTGTTTGCATAGTATCAGTAGAAGTACATGTGAGAGGGGGGTAAAATAATATACAGTCGTAGAGAAGTCATAGACCAAAATGTTGATTATGGAATGAAAAAAATAATAATACGATTTTTCATCCGTATCTTTCTTTCACATTTGATGAGCTGAAGTTGAGTCGGTAAAACAGGGTTTGACGCTTAAGGAAACCAACAGAGGCAACCGTATTTGCTATTTGAAAGCGCACTTGTTCAGTAATTTCTTGCGACACCACAGATGCTTGTTTGCATAGTATCAGTAGAAGTACATGTGAGAGGGGGGTAAAATAATATACAGTCATAGAGAAGTCACAGACCAAAATGTTGATTATGGAATGAAAAAAAGAATAATACAAGTGTTCATCCGTATCTTTCTTTCACATTTGATGAGCTGAAGTTGAGTCGGTAAAACAGGGTTTGACGCTTAAGGAAACCAACAGAGGCAACCGTATTTGCTATTTGAAAGCGCACTTGTTCAGTAATTTCTTGCCAAAAACTGTGTCTGTACCCCACCTCCCCCACAAACGTAGTGCCGCCATTACTTGACAATATGATGCAAAGTGACAGCAGTCCAAATACCTGCGTCAGGACTGTGGTCATGAGAGCATTCACAGTGACTGGCTGCACGCACACACACACACACACACACACACACACCCCACACACAAATGCATGCATAACCAAACAGAGAGAGTAATGGGGGATGGTGCACTGCACAGTAGATATGGATTGCCTTTGTGAATATATCCACTGCTGCATTTCACCTCCATGTGAGTGTGCATGTGTGTATGTGTGTGTGTGTGTGTCTCATGCGCATGTTGAACGTGATATATTCTCTGCAAACACTACCGCACTGTCTGTGTAATAGGACCTGACCAATAATACACAGCGCTGATCCCTGCCAGATGAAGATAACACTTCCTATA